ATTACTGACTTACCAACTTGACAGGATCTAGAATCATCCTCAGAGCATGGCTGTTTCTAGATGAGGGTAAATGAGGTGGGAAGACCCACCCTGCATGTGGACAGGTCCATTCTGTGGGCTGGAGTCTCAGCCGGGATACGCAAGAGAAAGAGCTCCTTGTTTTCTGCCTCCTGACCACTGGCGATGCGACCACCTGCCTCAAATTTGGGACATCAGGAACTCTAGCACTCTGCCCCCACGATGACCACCCCTCAACTGTGAGATGAGACAAACCTTCCTCCCTTGACTGGCTTTTGTCATGCATTTTGTCACAGCAATGAGACATGTCGACCAGCACAGCCTGCTGTCCACAATTTTGTTTTTACTGGAAGCTGCAGCATTCTGGAGATTTTCCTAGGCTGTACTGGGGGTGTTTCTGTTAGCCACCACTACACAACAAAGCTTAGTGTTTCAGAACAAGGACCTGTTGGCCTCATCTGACTCATCCATAAAGCTGCTTCCAGCTAGAGGGTCTTGAAAGATCAACATGGCCTTGAGGGTGACCATCGTAGGGCTGCCTTGATGGTTCTCAGGCTTTGCTAGACTGGGTCAGCCACCTTGCCTGGTGGACTTGCAGCTTGGGGTGGAACTACAGACTTCTGGAGCCAGAGATCACACATTCTTCTAGGCTAGCCCAAGTTCAAGAGGGGAGTAAATGGTTACATCTGATGATGGGGGCTGTTGTACTGCCTCATTTCATGAGCACTGGCTATAAAGACAGGAGTCTTGCTGTCTGAGTCCTGAGATTTGAGAAGTAAGGTGCCCCTGGATGGATGCAGCAATACCCAAAACTCAGCCAGAGGGATGAATGGTTTGAGTGTGGTCAGGACCATGGGTACTAAGAAAAGGAAACTTCAAGGCCAGGGTAGGGAAGGTACTTCATCTTGTAGATATAGAGAAGGATGGTGGTGGATGGAGAGGGGTAGCCTAAGGGTCAGACCATGATGGTATTCATGGGGAAGGTCTGGGGTGGTCAACCAATGACTATAGATATGGGATACCTCACTTTGTGGGGAGCAGGATTGTCAAGTAGGAGTGGTTTGTGGTCCAGATGATAATGATAATGCTGAAGAGGGTCTGGGATGGTCACGCCAGTGACATGATGCCAGAGACCGTGAAGGTTGTCATCACATATGCATAGGTCCATCTTATGAACACTGGGCACCCAGAGCCCCTTCACCCAGCCCTTCCTTCCTCAAGCGCCACATTGACTTGTTCACTTGCTAGTCCTCAAGCAAACGCAACTCCTTCTGATATCCAGCGTGTCTGTCGATGCTTCAAGGTGCGCTCCAACTCTTACATCCATGTCCTGAGTGTTGGTTCAAGTAGGAAATGCAGGAAGTCGGCCGTAGGAGTCACCAGACTTTGCCTGGTACCTTTTTTGCCTTATCCCCTCACATGGGCATCTGGAGGCAAAAGAGTATCCACACACATTAGTAGGATTTAGGGTGGTGAAACGTTTTTAAGTCTGTTAAATGAATATCATTTCCATTGTAAGTAAATAAAACTCAGGGAACAGACAGTGATTTGCCCAGATTGGCCTAAGAACTCACTCAACCATTGAGAAACATAGCCTCGCCTACCTTTGCCATTTCTTCCGTGACTGAATGTCTGCTTACATGTAACATGTAAGCAGATGAACACTGGAACCGCGTGCCTTTGCAGCCCTTGCTGTGACATGTAACATGTAAGCAGTGACATGTAACATGTAAGCAGATGAACACTGGAGCCGCGTGCCTTTGCAGCCCTTGCTGTGACATGTAACATGTAAGCTGTGACATGTAACATGTAAGCAGATGAACACTGGAGCCGCGTGCGTTTGCAGCCCTTGCTGTGACATGTAACATGTAAGCAGTGACATGTAACATGTAAGCAGATGAACACTGGAGCCGCGTGCCTTTGCAGCCCTTGCTGTGACTTTGCATTCTTACAGAGCTGCTTGGATTGCCAGGAAAAGAAAGATCCTGAGTGTTGATGAATTTAGCGGTGCTTCCTGGAAATCCCACTTCTGCAGCAAGGAATCGGGCTGTGAGCACTGACTCCCACCTGCTGTTTACTGTCCCTCCTCCGCTACCCCCTGTGCCCAGGGATCAGCACCTTTGACGCGTGCATTGGTGCTGAGCGGAGGTTGGAATTAGAAGAGCCACAGATGTCATCCTCACTTTTGACACTTTTCTTTCTTTTGAAGGCTACGTGAAAAAGAAGTAAAAAATAAGGATGAAAAAATCCTTGTAATCAGAGCCTGAATCCGAACAGAAGGATTTCCGCTCTCTCAAAGGTGCTCTGTGAAAGCAGTAAGCTGTTTCATCAAGGAACGAATGATTCGCAGGACTCAGGATTCCTCTTCAAGTCCGCTGTCCGTGCTGCTTTGCCAGCTAATGAGAAAACCAATTGTGTTTTTCCTTTCCTGTCATACTTTCCTCTAAATCCAAACGTTCCTCCAAACTGTCAATGATTTTGTTTTTCAATAACAATCAAATTCACTCCCCAAAGACTGAGATTATCTACCACTTAGGATGTTCGAAGCAGAGTACCTCAGGTTTCTATCTTGGGGGACTCCAAATGAAGCCAGTTTACTGACATATCTCCCAACCATGACATCGCAGAATGTTCTCAGAGTGTTGAGGAGGGTAAGCATTGTAACTGTGGGATCCAGGTGCACACCATGAGAGTGTCTGAAACCACCTTTCCGTATCAGTTACACTTTTCCTCTCTGTGACCTTCTTCCTTCCCCCTCCCCACAGTCTTTTTGCCTCACTGCAGGTCGGGCATACCTCATCTTGTGTTTATGTTCATAAATTTCAGTTGTTCATCCTTGAGTTAGCTCTTCCAAAATCCATCCTTTTTACAGATCTTTCTCAGTATTAAGTTTGTGAGTTTACATCTGATACTCAGTTTTTCTGTCCTCTGAACATATCTATCTTCAGCATCATGAAGTCAAGAGACTTAAGACAGCCATCTACTGAATGCTCACAATGACTTTAGGAGATGGACGTGATCATAACTACCTCTGAACAGATGGAGACGGTGAGGCCCATAAAGTTAACATCACCCAACATCAAGCAACCAGAAAATGGGTCAAACACTCAACTTGAGCACTGGTTCTCGTTCTCAGCACCATGGTGTTTTGGGTCAGATAATTCTTGGTTTTGAGTTGCTGTCCTGGGCACTGGGTACATTTAGCAGTTTCATGTTTGGTCTCTCCCTGTCAGAACCCAGCAGCTTCTAATCTAACTCTTGATTGAACACAACCTTTGCTTACAACAACCGGAAATGTCTCCAGACATCATCCATGTTCCCCAGAAACCACCACATTGTTCTCTGTCAGGGAAGGAAATACAAGTTCTATAGAATTTTAAGGCAAACGTTAGATCAATTTGAGGTGCCACCACACTTGACTGGTCATCGGGAGCGTCAGGCCTCTTGGTTTTGTTCTGGTTTCTTTATTTTCGTTTTTGTTTTTTGAGCGATGTCCATAAAAAGCATCACCAGGTGAGGCAGATGTCTGTTTTCAACTTCATGCTCCAGGAGCCACAGATCAAATCCTGACCTCAGCACACATCTGCTCCTTAAACCTCCACATTCTGTTCCCCTACCTAGTCGTCCTCCATCCTCAGGAATTACAGAAAGAATTCCCTCTTCAGAGAGCCCCGCCTATGAACTACTGTTCCTTCTGTCCAACTGTTCCTCCTCCTCACTCTCCTCCTCTGCCCTCATCATCCAAAGGATTGCTTTCTCAAGTCATTTGAATGAAGCCCTATTGAGCCCAGTTCTCTGAACATTCTCCTTACCATAGCCAGTAAAAACCATTGCCAAGTCCAAAAATGACCATCTGCTCAGTCTTTAATAAGAGACTTCCTCAAAAGGGCAATTACAACGCATTAAACTTTTACAATCTCCTATCCGGCTCCTACCAGCAGAAAGGCTGTGTGAGGGCTGTCCCCGAAAGTGGGGCTGAAACAGAGGTGCCTCTGCCTCGAGAGCCTGCTCTGGTAGCTTATTCTTTTGGTTTGGTTTGGTTTGGTTTGGGTTTGTTTGGTTTGGTTTGGGTTGGGTTGGTTTGGGTTGGGTTGGTTTGGTTTGGTTTAGTATGGTTTGTTGAGTCAGGCTTTTTAGCCCATGATAGCCTTGAATTCAAGATCCTCCTGCCTTCACCTCCCAATGCTGGGATCAGGAGCCTGAGCCTCCACACCCAGCTCTGCAACGATCTTCCTACCTTCTCTGGCATTTCAGAAAGATTCCATGTGGCTCATCTTCCTGCTAAAGTCCTTCCACTCCAGATTTCTTGACAAAGCACGGAGGCAGGGAGCCCGTCTGTGAATCTTGCCTTACAGTGAGCTTTCTGAAGAACACTTTTTAGGAGGGGAGGTGTCATTTTGATTAACAAAATAATGGGAATGTGAATTAGCTTAGTCAGTACATCACATTTCAGACCCCTGCAATCCCCCTTTCTTGAAAGCCAGGCAGTTGATCAGCCTGTGCTTTGGATTTTCCTCTAAGCCCCTCTAACAGTTCTGAGCTTGCAGGTCTCTCAGCACCCAGGATAGGACAAGCAGAGGATTGAGGTAGGGTGGACACTACTAGCATTTACCCGGCAGCCAACAGCCAGGTGTCAAAACTCAGGCCTATAGGTGACCAGTCTCACTAGCTGGTCAACTGAGTTGTGGGGGAGTTCTGTGTGCCGGCTGTGCCTGGACAGATCTGCAGTAGGCAGGTTATGTTTAGAGAAAACCAAGGAGAAAATAACACGTTCACCGGAATAAACTGTTCGGGGTCAAAAAAACAGTGTGGTGTTTTTGTTCTCATGTGAGATATAAAAAGAAAAGCTTGAGTTTCGTTTCCAAATGTCTGGCCTATGCCCGGGCACCTCCAAGGACATGGCTGGACAAGGCAAACTGTTGTGAATTCCTGTTGTGGATGGCTCCTCACGTGGCGCCCCGTCTTCTTGCAGACTTTTATAAATGGACACTGACATGGATTACGAGAGGCCCAACGTTGAAACCATCAAGTGTGTGGTAGTGGGAGACAACGCAGTGGGGAAGACGCGCCTGATCTGTGCCCGGGCATGCAACACCACACTAACGCAGTACCAGCTGCTGGCCACCCACGTGCCCACCGTGTGGGCCATTGACCAGTACCGCGTCTGCCAGGAGGTAAGGTACAAGGTGTCTTTAGACTGCTCAGGCCATCAAAGCCAGCTGTGGTGGTGTGGCGCATGCCTGTCACTCCAGCACTTGGGAGGTAGAGGCAGGACAATCAGGTGTTTAGATTTATTCTAGGCCACATAGCTGGTTCCAGGCCAGCCTGAGCTACATGAGACCCTGTCTTAAGAACAGAAAGCTGACTCAAATGGCAGCTTGCCAGTACAGTGGCTCAGGTCTGTGCATTTCCAGCACACCAAGCACGGTCTCTCTCCCTCTCCCTCACAGGTCCTGGAGCGCTCCAGGGATGTCGTGGATGAAGTGAGTGTTTCTCTCAGACTTTGGGACACTTTTGGAGATCACCACAAAGACAGGCGCTTTGCATATGGCAGGTAAACAAGGCCAGGGTAGCCTGATTGAGACCAGTTTCCTTTCCCAAACCAGCAGGTAGTTCAAAAATCAACAAAAGCCACATCATATGGCCTTACAATGTGGTGGGTTCTGCTCTGGGTCTAAGAAAAGAATAAAAACAATAGTATTGCTTCCTGGCATCAAGGACTACTGAGCTCACAACTTGGGAAGTCCCTGTTTGAAACAAGAGCTAGCTGAGCCAGGAAGTTTGCTAGACAAGGCTTCTTCTCACCCTCTGGTTTCAGGCAGCTTTGAGAGCTGCTTTCACAGCACTGGCTGACTTCTAGAATGTTCCGGTTAGTTTAGCACTTGACTCTCCTGATTCAGAAGGTGCCTTACTCTTTCCAAGACCTGTGTAACCACTGAGTCTGATGTTGCTTGTTTGGTTAGGGGTTTGCGTTATCTGCAAAGCTTCTTATTTCTATTTGAAGATTGTTTTTAAAAGAAAAATATCTCTAAAGTCCTTCCTGGGATACATTTCCAAAATGAACAGAAACATCAATGTCTGTCTTTCATTAAAAAAAAAAAAGGAAAGAAAAATGTGATACAGGGAAGATTAATCTAGAAGGACACTTCTATGGGTAGGAACAGAGTCGACGTGCCTCATACAGCAGTGTCTCCCTGTCCCCTGAACGCTTAAGGCTATTTCTCAGAAAGGATTACATCTGTCCTAACCCACCGAAGGTGATTTCCTTCACTCCTTAATTGTTATCGGACATATGTCATCTTAAGTTTAGACTTGCATATCGTTAGGTGTTCCTTCCTAACATCCCACACTGCGTGACCTCACGGGGCTGGATTAGGCACTATAAGCTCCTGAGGTACTCCTTCCTAGGGATGAAGATAAACATTTTTGGAAGGTGCCTGGAAGCCTGTAGCTCTCTAAGAAG